GTAACGGTTTGATAGGGGCGTGTTCCACCTACAAATCTCCTTCAATCGCCCTACTAACCCTGTCTGCGGTAGTGCACCACAAAATGCACTATAAGTAGAAGTAATCTAGTCTCGGTCAGTCCTAACGCGGATTTCCATTTCATTTCGTTAAATAAACGAGGTGCCACGTAGGAAAAAAATGACAATATACGACTAGCAGATTTAAAAAGAATGAGGATAAAGGTTTTATCCAGATGAAACTGAAACCAGCGTTCAGGGTCGAATCTAGTGCATCACAATCCGTTGCCTGTCTCGAACCAAACTACACCTTAGATGCTATAGCTAAGCTTTGAAACAGTAATATAACAATTTTCTTTCACTCGTCAATGCAATTAACTATACAAAGCACTATACAGTAGATGATAATATGATATCATACTCTTGTCAACGGTAAAATAAAATTAAACGATGCATCGGGTTTTGGGGTGCCTTAGCCGCCAGGTCCACGGCTAAGCTCCTGGCAATAAAATTAAACGATGCATCGGGTTTTGGGGTGCCTTAGCCGCCAGGTCCACGGCTAAGCTCCTGGCCGGTGGCCGGTGGCCAGTGCTCATCACCGTTCATTACGCGGGACGAGGCGCGCGCACCAGATGAGACATCACAGGACTGGACTCCAAATACTGTAGAATAGGCAGAAGCTATCTACAGCAGGTGGCCATGTCCCATGTGGGACGCCGCCTTACCAGTTTTGCCAGCACGCGAGCCACATATTTCAGGCCAGCTATCCGGTTGTTGCTGATCCACAACATCTCATGAGTCATGGCACAAAAACAAACAAATTTCAGCGCTGATGCACTACGTATACTCCTACATTTCTTCAGAGGTTCGTCGTTGCTTTGTGAGATATGACATGTCGGCAGCCGCCCTGGTTCAGTTAATTATTAGTATGCAGCGTGCTCCTGGATCTGAAAATTCAACCGGAGCAAAATGGATGTCTTGGACATGTAAGTCTATAGACTCTGTTGATAGGTTGACGCAGACATAGCACCCGGGCTATCAGCATGTCCAGACTCCGAAGCACGTTGCTTTGCTATTTTGCGGCGTCGAGTATATATAGGTACAGCTTATGAGATATTGAGTTGATGCTCTACGGTGTCCTTTTTCAACTATTATAATTATTATTCCCTCCGTTTTTAATTACATGTCGTATTAAGTTTGTCCGTAGTCAAACATTTAGGGTGTATTTGGTTTGTGGAGTCACCCATGCATCATGAGGTGATGCATCGTGAGTTCATCCTATAAATTTTGGTAGAACCAACTCATTCCTCATACGTATACTAATTATTAGTTTGTGAGAAATGATGTGGTGATTGGATCGACTTATTCCATTTCACAAACCAAATATAAAAAGTGAGGAGTGAGAAGATGATGAACCACCACATTTCTCAAACCAAAAATACCCTTATATCTTTGACTATTGATTTCCAAAAAACCATATAGATTCTCGATATAAGATTTATGTTTTTAGATTGATTATGAAAAATACTTTCATACTATAGAATTTATAGATTCGTAGATCGTAAACTATAAGAATTTTTAAAAACGAATGGTCAAATATAATAATGTGTGACTTAAGGCAAACCTAACGTGGCATGTAAAAAAGAACGGGGAAGTACTAGACGATCTGTGCTCTAGCATGTCTTATAATTTGTTGTTACAGAATTTCTGTCTATATTTTATTTTAAAATCAATTATGTTCAAACTTTCTGCGGTGCCGGCCCTAGGGGTAGGGCACGAGGTGCGATGGCCGAGGGCCCAAATAGAGAAGGGGTTCAAGCCTAGGTATACAAACCCACAGGTCCTATAGTCCATTAGGTATTAGCAAACTAATTTGAAGAGAGATATAGAACTGGCTAGGCGACCCAAAAAGACAACATCGATATTTCTTTCCTAATTTTCTTTCCCCACAGCCCTCGAGTAGAGAGGAGGCAAGGAGTCACGCTGCACACAGCACACTCTGATCGTAAGTTCTCGACGTGCGCCTTACACATGCGGAGCTGACGAGCCGCGCCGCCTTGAAAACCTAGACTATTGGAGACACGGACACGGCACACGAGGACGACGACCAGGCAGGGCTCCACGACGATGACATCTTGATTCTTGGCTTCTTATGAATTGCGACCACCGATCAGTTGTTTAGGCCCAAGGTATTTTTTTCCTTTTTATTTTTAATCCAAATTAATTATTTGTATAGTATTCCAGACTTCTATTACTTTGTATCCATATAGTCATATTTTTCTTCTAATTTAGGTGTTATAATTTTAGAATGTTACCTAAGAAACATTTATCATGGGTGAGAAAAGAAAACGAATATATTATTTTTTTAATCTACATTGCTCCTCGATAATTATCATACATCTACAAATATATTGTTTAATCTACATTGTTCCTCGATAATAATTATCAGACATGTTAAATTAAAAATATGTTATTGAATTTACTTTCGTTTTACAAGTAAAATTAGCGTCTATATATTATAAGATTTTATACATGGTCAAGAGGGGCCGTTGCGACGAGATGGCAGAGGGCCCTTAAAATCCTATGACCGACACTGACTTTCTGTTTATATTTATTATTTTAAACTTTCTCGTCTAGGGTGACTCGTGCGGCGACTTCTCTAACCCACCGCTAGGAACCACGTCCTTCCCGAACCTTGCTCTCATCATTGCGCTGGAATGGGCTACCAGAAGCCAGCGCATCCGCAAGGATCGCTGCAACGGTACCCATCCTCTTCTGCTGAGGTTGCGGGTGGCCGTGGTGCGTCAACGGCTGCTTAGATCCTGCGCCCCTTCATCAGATCTGGCAACATCGCGGTTGAATCTAGCGGAACCGGTGGAGTTTACATGGGAAGGAGACTGCTACGGCGAGTGAGGCACATGGTGGTGTGGCGCACGTGAGGCAAGTGCGCCAGTGACGGAACAGTCTGCAGGGTAGGGCCACGGGTCGGACGAACCGGCGAAGGAGAGACGTGAGTGAGGACATCCGATGATGTTAATTAGCACCCGGAGGATCATCCGATGATGCCTGCATCTGTAGACTTTTTTCGTGGCTAGCATCCCCTTCGCAGCCTACATATATGTGTTCCCTAGCTCGTTTTGTGTAGCTCTTTCACCCAAGTTGTGACACACATAATAGCATATGTTGGCAATTGAGATACAAACTTCGCTGTTATTTTAAATTATCTTTCATAAATGTAGATGTTGTAACTTGTGTATAAGTTTGGGGTAGTATAAAATTATAATGAATTTAGAGGATTACTCTTTGTTAGAAGGGCGGGCCTGGTGTAAGCGGTGAGAGTCTTACCGTCTGTGTACTTGGGAAGGTCCCGGGTTCGAGTCGCGGTCTCCACTCGCATTGCAGTGAGAAGAAGGTAAGTCTTGCCACTAACACTATTTCCAGAGACACCGCATACAGAGCGGGAGCTCTATGCACTGGGTACGTCCCTTACTCTCTGTATTTTTTCTAAGGGCAGAGGTGGGTGATTTTTAATAAAAGATTGTAAATCAATTATTTATTATTGACGATGATAATTAGAGCTTACCAAATTAAGTGTAGATGTTTCCGAATATTATGAAATTTCTTGAGTTCAATTTTTTAGCACATCTCATGAGGATTAACATGACCTCTAAATAATAATGATAAGATTGATTTTTCGCAAACGTACGTATGTGCTTGGTCACATTTCTCATCTTTGTTCTTTTTCTGCCTTTTCGACTCTCTGCACGGCAATTGCCATGCATGTACATCCCTGTAGAGTAATATAAAGATACGAAACTGCTCTATCATTTTCACATGATGTTTTTATACTTCCAACAGATAACCACTACTCTGACGAATTTGCTTTCTGGCCTAGTCGTTCAAGGATGACGTGTCTAGGACTTCTCGAGGGTTCAAAGTCGTAGTACTAGTAGTAGTTAAATTTGTTTCTTCAATGACAAACAAAAGGGCCCACCTCCACACGGCGCTCATCAGTGGGCCAGTCGCGTGTTTTGGAACACGAAATCAAGCTCACTGCACCAATTGCCATTGGACCGGATGGAGATTTATATTTATAAATATATAATAATACTCGACTAGTCAGCCAGTGGAAGTATAGAAAGCGCTAAAACGTGTAGTTTTCCCTATAAAACCTCCGACCCGATGCCTGGTCTTCACACCATTTCCCCATCCAAAACCGTCCTTACCCTATTCCATCATCCTCAAAGCATAATCTGTAATTATAAAATCATCAAAACTCATGGAAATACTTAGTATAAATCATAACTCCTATGTTATTGATTGATTTTAAGGATAATTAGAAGTTATTTTGATAGTTTATGTTTAGCATTATTGACCGTCAACAAGTTCCGTCCTCAAGTAAAGATCAAGAATAAAAGTTAATATGATTATAACAATCTTTAAGATTTCTGCTAGCATAAAGGCTATCCCAAAGCATTCCGTGGGATATGTGGAATTGTCTTATATATATACTTGAGCGGTTGAAAAGTGGAACCACTCTCGAATCAAAGTCATCTTCCCAAATTCTTATCTCAAGTAACTTGGAGTTTTTAATTTTTTTTTTACAAGAAACGGCTCTACCATTTTCACGATGTTTTATACTTTCCAACAGATAACCACTATGAAGAATTTGCTTTCTGACGTCTGAAGTTTTTCAAGGATTATGTGTACGTCTAGACTTCTCGAGGGATCAAGTCGTAGTAATTAAATTTGTTTCTTCAATGACAAAACAAAGGAGAGCCCACCTCGACACGGCGCTCAGTGGCTGGTTTTGGAACACGAAACCAAGCTCACTGCACTAATTGCCATCGGATTATAATACTCGACTAGTCAGCCAGTACAACGCGCTAAAACGTGTAGTTTTTTTCCTATAAAACCCCCCGACCCTGCCTGGTCTTCTCACCATCCATCGTCCAAAACCGTCCCATTTCCCCCTCTTCCTGCTGCCGCATCCTCAAAACGCAATGGGGACTCGGCAGCGGGTCCTCGCGCCATGGGCGGTGCTGCTGCTCGCGCTGCAGCTCGCCGGTGCCTCCCATGTCATCCACCGGAGCCTGGAGGCCGAGGCGGCACCGGCGTCGGTGCCAGCCTCCATTGTCAGCCCCCTGCTCAGGACGGGATACCATTTCCAGCCACCAATGAACTGGATCAACGGTACGCTAGCTACTTCTCTTGGAGTTGGAAGGATCACCCTCCTGCCTGGCCTCCCTTTGCGCCTTGCTCTTCTGATGTCTCTCTGTGTTTTCAATTAAGCTACCCATGCGTTGCTCGTGTTGCTTGCTGTACTACAAGCGATTAAATCGTGTCAGACCATGGATACAGAATGCCAGGGAGTAGGAATGAAGAATCATATATGCCAGTAATAGTTGTACTAATTTGAGCTCCTCTTGTCATCCCTCATGCATGGCGATCTGTTTGATGGAGAGCTCATGTATCGAGAAAAAAATCACGCCTGTATCTTGGAACAGCAGCAAGAAAATGCAGCCATATAGGAGAAATCAAATTAGTCTTTTCTAGGCTCGGTTGTTCACATGGAGCTTGCTGCATGCAGTTTTTTTCTTTGTCCTGTCCCCCAGAAAAGTCTAAGCTGCAAGCTATTGAGCTTTGACAGTAGCCGGAAACGACGAAGAGACTTGCAGCTAATCAAAGCCGTGTGGTGGTTAAATACAATAATACAGATGCTCTGTGTTTGATTAAGTACAGTACTATGATAATGGCTCTTGTGATTACGTACTATACGGTCGCTGCAGAGACTTTGTTCTAACATGGGTGTTGTTTTCTGTCTCTCTGCTCTTGTTGGCGGCTCTGATTGCTGGGACGGCGGAACTCATCGGCTGCAGACCCCAACGGTACGCCTTTACCCAGCCCGTTTAATTTGTTGCAGTTATCTTTTCTTTATCCCTGTGTTGTGCTGCCTGCTAAGTAGATCTATATAATGTCTGCACGTATCATGAACAGCTGTACTTGTTTCCTAAACGTGGGAGGATGAAATGGCGCATTTTAAAGTGCTGATCTATCTTGTAGTTGTAGCAAAGGACATTTTAACATTAAAAAATAGTGCATGCCCCTGCTGCCCCGCAGACTCCACATGAGAATTTGACTTCATATAGAGAGCAACTGTAAATAACGACAATCGTGCAGAAAAGGAATACTACTCCTAGTTGACATAGAATTTTGCAACTGTGTGTGCAGCTCCAATGTACTACAAGGGATGGTATCACTTGTTCTACCAGTACAACCCCAAGGGCGCGGTATGGGGCAACATCGTGTGGGCTCACTCCGTCTCACGCGACCTCATCAACTGGATCGCGCTGGAGCCCGCCATCTACCCGAGCATCCCGTCCGACCAGTACGGCTGCTGGTCGGGCTCGGCGACGATGCTGAAAGACGGCACGCCGGCGATCCTGTACACGGGGATCAACCGCCCCGACATCAACTACCAGGTGCAGGTGGTCGCGTTCCCGAAGAACGCGTCGGACCCGCTGCTCCGGGAGTGGGAGAAGCCCGCGGCGTACAACCCGGTGGCGGCGCCGGTGGGCGGCATCAACGCGACGCAGTTCCGCGACCCGACCACGGCGTGGTACGCGGACGGGCACTGGCGGATGCTGGTGGGCAGCGTGCGGGACGCCCGCGGGATGGCGCTCGTGTACCGGAGCCGGGACTTCAGGACGTGGAGGAAGGCCAAGCACCCGCTGCACTCGGCGCTGACGGGGATGTGGGAGTGCCCGGACTTTTTTCCGGTGTCCGGGCCGGCGCTCCGTGACGGGCTCGACACCTCCGAGGCCGCCGCCAAGTACGTGCTCAAGAGCAGCCTGGACCTCACACGGTATGACTACTACACCATCGGGTCGTATGATAAGAGGAAGGATCGGTACTACCCGGATAACACCAACGGTGACTACCACCGGCTGCGATACGACTACGGCAACTTCTACGCGTCCAAGACGTTCTACGACCCGGCGAAGCGGCGGCGGGTGCTGCTCGGTGGGCCAACGAGTCGGACAGCGTGCCCGACGACAAGGCCAAGGGCTGGGCCGGCATCCATGTACGTCGTCGCTCGTGTTTAGTCTTTACTGCTTCCTGCTTGCTTGCTTGCTGCTGCTAGCTACTCCATCAGTGAGAGCTGCTGTCAGCCGCACGCATGTGTCTACTCGTGTTCCTTGGCTAGAAACTTCAAAGCGTTGAATCGTTGGCAACGGATCGGATCGGACGACTTGTTTGACTGACTGCTTGTGCGTGCTCGTGACAGGCGATCCCAAGGAAGATCTGGCTGGACCCCACCGGGAAGCAGCTGCTGCAGTGGCCCATCGAGGAGGTTGAGAAGCTCAGAGGAAAGCCCGTCAGTGTGGGCGCCAAGGTAGTCAAGCCCGGCCAGCATTTTGAGGTCACAGGCCTCGCAACCTACCAGGTTGGTTAGTTTTACTCCTAGTACTTTTCGATCGATGATAAACTGTTTTTTGAAATTAAACTTTCATTCATTCATTCATGTGAATACATCCACTAGCTAGCTAGCGGCGGCAAGGGTAACATGCATGCGCGCGCGCAGCTGCTTGCTTATCACGGGCGCACACTACGCACCGCGAAGAAGGGTGCTAGTAGCACTGTTTCAGTAGTCAAGCTTCACAGCTTGTCGCTTGTCGGAAGTATATACTAGTAGTAGCACTGTACGTTGCAGTCAAGGGCCCCACGTGCAGAGTATCTGTCTAGTCCAGCCAAGATCCGATGGCTCATACATATGCCTTGTCGGCGATAACCCCTACGTAGGTTACACAAGCCCACCCGATGCTTGTCTTGCTCTGCCACTTGCAAACACCTACCGGAATGCGACGGGTCTCCCTCCTCTGCTGGTTTACGTACACACCTACACCAAGCCTGCAACACTTGTTTCTGATCTCAAGTTTGAACAATATTCTGTCACAGACACACACACACACACATACGTGTCGCGTAACAAGTCACCAACCAGTACCAGACAGGACATGAGCAGAAGAGTCTTCCAACGCACACGCCTGCCATTTTCCAAGACAAGTTAATCTTCCAGTTCACATATTATTAATCGATGCCACGTAGTAGGTGTGACCACTGATTACATTGACTGACAAAGCCGATCTACGACTACTTTCTGAAATGTTTTGTTCTTCCGTCGGAGAGTGAAGATGAAAGATGCTAGTACTCCTCTCCTATGTGTTGACCCATCGTCGATCTTGTGATGATGGCAGGCCGATGTGGAGGTGACCTTCGAGATCTCGAGCTTGGAGAAGGCGGAGCCCTTCGACCCGGCGTACGACAACGACGCGCAGAAGCTGTGCGGCGTCAAGGGCGCGGACGTCAAGGGCGGGGTGGGGCCCTTCGGCCTGTGGGTGCTGGCCTCTGCCGACCTGCGGGAGAAGACGGCCGTCTTCTTCAGAGTCTTCAAGGACGGATACGGCAAGCCCAAGGTGCTCATGTGCACCGACCCCACCAAGTAAGCCCACCTACCTACATCCTTCCCCCTTCTCGCATCACAGCAGCCACATTGCACATGTGGATACACATATAGAGGGGGTACATGTATGCCCCCGCTCGGGCCGGCCCCACATTACCACTAATAAGATGATTATTATGTGGACACATATGCTTCTTCAGATTACAATGTCTACACAAAACTAAATAGATGGCTTGTGTTTTCTCCCTTCTTGTGTCGGGCAGGTCATCTCTTAGTCCAGATCTGTACAAGCCGACCTTCGCGGGCTTCGTCGACACTGACATTTCAAGCGGGAAGATTGGTCTCAGAAGCTTGGTATGTACAAACTAACGCATGCGAAGCAAATGTCACAATTGTTGACTACTGCTGTCAAGCAATTGGATTACGACTTATCACTTGACTGATTGTTGTATTATCTTGTTGCTGTTTGCTTCCTTGTGCGACATGGCATCTATATACGTACAGATCGATCGGTCCGTGGTGGAGAGCTTCGGCGCGGGAGGCAGGACCTGCATCCTGTCACGGGTCTACCCGTCCATCGCCGTTGGAAAGGAGGCTCACCTCTACGTTTTCAACAACGGTGGCGTGGACGTCAAAGTGTCAAGCCTGACTGCCTGGGAGATGAAGAAACCGCTGATGAACGGCGCCTAATAGAAGCGTGAATGACTTCTCTTCAACGACCGTACCTTTGCTGCCAGAAATACACTATTGATTATTAATTGTTGAGGTCCTTCAGTTTTCGCCCTTCATGACGACTAGTTTGATCATGTGCCAGAAATACACACGGATGGGAGTATATAGGCTTTACGTGCTCAGCTGTCCGGCAAAGAGAGAAATCGATTACGCTTCTTCTTGATTGTACAATAATATGAGATGAATAAAAGGCTGCTAATTTTACAGTCTCAAGTAACAAGACCTCCTCCTCTCTCTCTTCTTCCGGATTATATATATGACCAAGATGCTAACCTGACTTACATCTGACGAGCTAACTAATCTAGTCTAATTTTATTTTTCGAAACTTTTAAGTGGTAGAGCTCATTTTGCCTCTGATTCTCTATGTAATGGGATTCTCTAAGGAAAATGATCATGTGACTGAAAATGGTTATCTAAGGTAAATTATGTATATAAAGTGATTAGGTGCGAAAGTGAATCGGGAGAGAGCCTACTTTTTTCGGTCCACCGTGTCCTAACTAGTTCATCACTATACCAAAACAGCACAAAGAAGGCACTCAATTTAGTGGCACGAAAACAAAACACGTCTCCGAAGAACTAGTCTATGATGCATTTTTTTAGGAGTTTCTATGATGCATTTTAGATAACCACTTGACGAAATTCACATATATTTCTGCAAAAAAAAATACTGTTTGGCAGACACCAGTACATAAAACATTTTCAGAGGCAGCCATTGTTATTCACTTTACAGAGGCAGTCCGAATGCCGGTCTTTGAAAAATGATTAATGCCTCTAAAAATGATTAATAGAGGCTCGCTTCCGTTAATGGTTTCCGGATAACCTAGAAATTAATCGAACTCACGATGTACAACTTAGAACTAAGACTGCTTGTCACTACACCACAAAATCACTTGTGAGTATATATAGAATTCCATCTTTTTATAAAAATTTTGTAATCTTGTTTTAAATATTTTGACTACTAAATGAGCTCGAATGAAAAAAAACTTCAACTACAAAGTTTTAAATCTTGTTGACCACTATAACTTTGGTATAGGATGTGTCTTCATCCAAGATTGTATGAAAAACTCAAAAAAAAAAATTGAATCTCAAAATACATTAATTCAAAACAAATATTTGAGAAACTAAATGTCGGTGTTTTGAGTTACTAACTAGTAAATTTCTAGTATTGTGCGTCTGGCTTGGATGGTGTGCTTAGAGGACACGAGATTTATACTGGTTCGGGCACAAAGTTCCTACGTCCAGTTCGTCGCTGCTGCTCGTGTTACTAGCACTGAAAATTTGTAGTAGGGGTTACAAATGAGCGAGAGAGGGACGGGTCCCAAGTCTCTAATGTGTGTGTGCTCCTAAGGCATGTTAGAGCGTGTGTTTTGATGTCTACAGCCATGTAGAGTGGTGAACTGCCATCCCCTCTCCTGGGGCGTCCTACTTTCCCTTTTATAGACGAAGGGGAAGAGCAGGTTACACAGAGAGAAAGAGGGAGAAGAGCTAAGGAGAGGAAGGCTTTTAGGACCGTCGGGCCTTTCTTCTCCTTTATACGGGTCTCGCCGACACTGCAGATGGTGACAGGGATGGCTCCACGCCGGGAGCCTATTCGCCGCTGATGCCACGCCCCGACGTTGTCAGCGGGTCGTGATGTCCCATTCCGTCCTGGCGGGCGACGCGGCGAACCAGCGTGCAAGTCAGTGGCCATACAAGGAGTAGGCAGCATAGTGACCACGCGTCCATCACTGTTGGTGATGTGAGTTCCCTGGAGTGACATGTCGCGGGCATGGGTCATGTGGAGATGTGCCCACTCCCTGCATGATGCCAAAAGTTTGACCTTGGGTTGTACTTTCTGGCCCGTAGTGGTTGGCGGTGGTACGGGCTTTTGTCAGGAGCCGTGCCTGAGGGGTCGAGCGAGACGGAGGCCTCGACCCAGAGGCCGGGCGAGGTGGAGCCCCCGACCCAGAGGTCGGGCGAGGCGGAGCCCGCGCACCTAGGGGTCGGTTGGAGCTGTAGTCGTGCTCTTGACTGCTCGGATGAATCAATGTTGATGACCATTACCTCCTCCTCTTCGGGTAGCCTAGTATTGGTCCCCGACAGTGGCCCCCAAGCCTGCAGAGGAGTAGAATACTCCTTCGGAGGCTTTTTCGAATAGGAGGACTCTGAGGGTCTTGGCCTTCTATTGTCGCCCATGGCGTGTCCTAGGGACGGTGATTCCCTTTCGTCATGGTCAGACCCCTCGGGGGTATAGCCGTGAGATTTGGTGGGTCGGAAAATGGCTTTCCCGATTCCGACCCCTATGGGGGTCTGTCGTTCTGCAACCGTGCGTTCGGTCTCCTTGTGAGTCCAACTTTCCTCGAGCCCCCGCCCATAGCAGGGGTTCAGTCGAGGGTCGGCTCATCTTTGTGATCGTCTTCCCTCAAGCGTTTTTTCCTATAAAAACGGAGGGGCTGAGCCGTGCTATGATTTTCCTCTATGGATGAATCATTTTGCTCGGTGAGCTATTTACGGGCTAGTCCGAGTGGGGCCCTGGCATCCTATTCATGGGGGTCCGTCTTGGGTCAGCTGGTGACCGACTCTAGAATCTCAGCGGTCAATCCATATAATTCTCGGGTCCGTTCGATCGGTCCTGAGGGCTCTCTGCCTTTCTTTGAGGAAAAACCATAGATCGTATCCGACCGAGACTCGAACATGGGCTGGGATGCCCGTGGCGCTCGTGCGCCTGGGTACTGGTTGCTAGCAGGCCCATCCCTTTCCATCCCTCACTCTAAAGGTGCTTGAAGCGGTTGTTGAACCCGTCAGTGTGCCAACCTTCGAACTCCTGGGCCTAGACGGGCCGTAGGAGTGTTTTCAGCTCCGTATCCCTCTTACCTTGATGGGTCATGGCCTGTTTGGGGAGGTGAAATGTTAGGCGCGTTTTCTAAGGGGGCGGCCATAGGTTGCGTGCGCATGCCCCGCGACGAGACGTGGTGATAGGTCATGGCAGGCGCGGAGATCTAGGCGGGCGGTTGGTTTCCTCGCACCCAACGCCCCTATAAAACCAAAGGGTTAGCCCTCTGTGTTTCATACGTACGCCTGCATCCTTACGTCCGCAGCCGCCAACGCTTAGGCTTCCTGCCTCCGCATCTCCGCCGTCGTTGAGCTCGCATCCATCCGCCCCCACCCCCAATGGATCCGTGGTGCCGTTCTGACATCACCTTCTAGCGCATGGAGGGCCTTGTCCATCGCGGTCTTCTCCGCGCGTGGACCTCGGCCGAGAAGTGGTTGCTGCCCGGCAACGAGGATTCGTCGTCGCCGCCCAACAGCTACGTGGTGTCGTTCGCACACTTCCACGAGCGTGGGCTCATGACCCCCGCCCACAAATTTCTCCAGGGGCTGCTGTACTTCTACAAGATTGAGCTGCAGCATCTCAATCCCAATGGGATCTAGCACATGGCAGTGTTCGTCACGCTGTGAGAAGGATTCTTGGGGATCAACCCTCACTTCGACTTGTGGAGGTATTTCTTCACCGTCAACCTCTAGAAGAAGAGGGAGAAGGGCGGCAGGCAGGAGCTGCACATGCCGATGGGGTGCGTCGGCATCCAACTTCGGAACAATCGGGTCGGCGAGTACCTATCCATGCGGCACTTGACGTCTAACAAGGGCTGGCACTCGCAGTGGTTCTACCTCAAGAATGACGCCGCCGCCCCTCTGCCGGGGTTCACCGGGCGCCTAATCGAAGAGTCCCTAGAGCAATGGAGGAAGTGGGGTGTCCCAGAGAAGGACAAGAAGAAGATCCGAGACCACATCACCGCTATCCACATCCTGAAGGAGAACGGCCTGAAAGGATCGGGCGTCATCGGGGCTTACCATGTGAGGAGGGTTGCATCGTTGATGGCGCACGCGCTCCTACTATACGCGATGGCGCCTGAGGCGTCGTACGACGGAATGGCGCTTGCCGAGGGAACGCTCCCCAACTCTGAGATCATGCAACACATCAAGGAGACGATGGAGCCTTTCTGTGACGACGTGGGTGCCACCCTTGACTTCGTCTACCTGGTGTCGGGGCATCCTCCGATGTGGCCGGAGCCAGGCTATGTTGTCTTCGTAAGTTTCCCTTTCTCTTGCCTTCTCTTCAATTGATTTTCTGACCCTGTGTGACTAACTTTGAGAGGGGCGGGACCAGCCGAGGGACCTCATCCTCATGGATCACCCGGCGCCGCTGCCGAGGGATTTGGCCGTGAGGGCAGCAAATCGCACCGAGGGCGAGCGGCCGAGGAAGGCAAAGGAGGACAAGAAGAGGAAGAAGCAACGGAAGCTGCGGGCGCAGGAACGAGTGGAGGACACTAACAACGTTGATGACGATGATGATGGTGATGACGACAAGGTGATGGAGGAAGAAGAAACGGTTGCCAACAATATCGAGTGGGACAACCTGGAGAACGAGGATGTGCTGACAGGCATCGGTTCGTCCTTACAGGCGTCGGGACCCTTCCCATTACATGGAGGGGAGGGTATGTCTACGGAGCCAGCAGAGGTGGGCCGTTTTGATGGAGGTGGGATGTACCGTCGGCCTGCCCTAGGAGCCAACAGAGGTGGGTGGCTCTGCCGTCGAGCCTGAGGTGTCAGCAGAGGCGGGAGGCTCCGCCGTCGCGCCCCAAGAGCCAAGGGGAGCGGGGCGTTCCGCCAATGTGCCCTAGGAGCTGCCAGGGGTGAGCCCCTCTGCCCAGGAGCAGGGGGCGGGCTTGAAACGGCCTCGTTCCGATGAGGTGGAGCAAGGGTCAGGGGGTTCATCCCCCAAACGCATCTACTGCCCGACGGCGCTGAGGTGAGTTATCAATTCCTCTGTTTTTCCTGTTTTAGTCGGATTTTGTAACACCCTAGGTGTTTGGCTTCCACATTTGCACTGCATTTCATGAACATGAGCATCATGCATCCATTCGTGAACTTATATCACATGAAACATGATTTCAAAACATTGCAACATGTTGTATATT